GCCAGGGCCTCCCCACCCTCACAGGGAGGAATTCCTTCCCAATATCCCATCTATCCCTGCCCTCTGGCAGGGGGAAGCCATTCCCCTTTGTCCTGTCACTCCAGGCCCTTTTCCAAAGTCTCTCTCCAGTCTTTTCCCATGGAAGTTGTATCATCCCTCATCCACCTGCTTCCTTGTTCCCAGGACACGTGTCCTCAGGGTGGGAGACAGATGTCCTTTAAGTTGCCTTTCCAGATTCATGGATTTTGTTCAGAGAATTCCAGGTTTTACTTGAAGTCTCCAGACTTGGCTGGCACAGCAGAGTTCAAACATGGCCCAGGTGCTCCTTGAGGCACTGAAAAACAACCAGGAAAACGTGATCTTTGCACATCTAAAATAATTATTTTGATGTTTTTAAGCCTTTCTGAGCAGTTCTGAGAATTTGGTTTGAAATCCACCCCCACTCCCCCCTCCAGTGTTGTCTCCTGAATTCCCAGTTCAGGAGGGATAGTTTCACTGAGCTGCCTTTTCCTGTTGGTTTTGGAAGTTTCATGGAGCAGGAATCTCTCCTGGCTGGTGCAGGATGTAACTCCTTTCTTCACAGCACATCAAAAGAGCCTGAGTATCCTACAAACACACATTCCCTCCTCGGTGAGCAGCTGAATGGAGTGAAAATACTTTATTACTTTCAAATGTACCCCCAAGGCTGCAGGAACGGTCTATAAATATCCATTTTATGGCAGTAAAGGAGACCTGGGGGGCTTCACACTCCCTTTCCCTGGAAGAAAAGATGTGTGGCAACACTCCTCCCGAGGTGTGATTCCACCCTGATGATTATGGCACAACATTCCAAACACATCCACACGGCTGGGACCTGTCAAACTCCCCGAGACCAATTTCTCCAGGAGGTGTAAATTCTCAGGATTCAACTCTCAGGTTGGAAATAATGGAGGTGAGCAGCTTTTCTGTCAAGGAAAATTGCCTCCCGTGTAGAAAGGAGGACAATTTGGAATACAGAGTGAGCCATGGATTATAATCAGGTGATAATATAAAGTGAGGGCTGTTTTATCAGGTGTCACCACAGCAGAAGCTCACAGAGGAGGGGAAGAAATATTTCAGGCTAAAGGAGGGAGAGAGAAAAATTGGAGAAGGTGGAATCCAGGCCAGGGATATTTGTGGGAGTTTGTGTTGGCTGCCCTGGAATCAGGAGTCAGCCAGACATGGGGAGGCCTCACGACATCTGTTGAAGTTCTGACATTGGTGTCACTCAAATAAAAATAAAGGGGAAAGAATACTTTCTGTGCCTTGCTTTCCAAATTCCTAACGTGGGGATGTCAAAGCTCCTCCCATGGTAAAAGCCCTCAGAGGTGCATCCAAGGGAAGCACTGCAGGAACATCGGAGCACTGATGGACAGCCAGGTTGGCTGCTGGACCCTGGAGCTGCCCCAAACCCACCCCTGGAGAGGAACGCAAACACCACCCAGCTCAGTCTGAGAGCAGGGAGAAGTCCAAGCTGCTTTCCACGTGCTCAAACTCATGAGGAAAAGGGATCCATCCAGTGGTAAGATCTCTGCAGGCTTCGGAGAACTCGGCCTGAGAGCTCAGGGTCACACAGCCCTGTGGGCAGCAATATTCCCAAGGACACGGGCTTCCTACAGGCTGGAAAGATCTACCAGACATAGGAAGGCTAAAAAAAGTACAAAATATGTGCAGAGCAGAACAAAAATGACTTGAAATAGCAAACAGAAGCCCCTTGACTCTGAAAGACTCTGCGTCACCTCCCATCAGTCGGATGGAACTCAGTGCTTGGAATTCTTCACAGATTTCCCTGGTGTTTGGAAATGAATTTGCTTCAACCAGATTTACTTTGGAGTGTGTTTTCCATCCCTGCTGGAGCTGGGACAGCGTTGTCACTCACCCAGTGCTGCAATCCAGCTCCTGTTTGCTCAGCCCCTCAGGAGTCACATCCAGGTGAAGCTCAGCAGGAACGTTTGTGGAGAGTGGGTCTGAGAGCTGCACGTGTGAGGGGAGCTGTGGAGGGAATTCTGAGCATGAATCCCATCCAGGAAAGACAACTGCACATGGGGCTGAACTCAGTGATCATATTTGTAGCCCAGATGGTGGGTTGGAAAGCAAATCTCATGCAGGAGCTTTGGAGAGGGAAGTGTGCTGTGATGGAAGTGGGCTGTGATGTGCTCAACACACAGAGGGGTTTTGCCCTCAGAGTGGAGACTATTCCTAGTCCTGGCTGTGCCTTGGAGTCAGGAGACTTGTCAAAATGTCTCCTTGCCTCCTGTAGCTGCTCTGTCCAAGAGCGAGGACCTGGATGTTTGTCTTGTGGCAGAGTGGCTTTGGTTCTGGGACAAATCCCGTGCTGTGGATGGGCTCGGGCAGGGCTGAGTGGAGAAGGCTTGGCCTGGGCTCTGATTCAGGACAAATATCCTGTGTTGTGCATGGGCTGAGCTGGGTCTGGGTGGAAAAGTCTTGGCCTGGGCTCTGATTTTAATCCCCCCTTTTTCTTTCAGTGGTGTCTGACCTGTGTGCCACTGGAGACCATGACTGTGAGCAGATCTGTGTGAGCACCCCAGGAGCCTACAAATGTGCCTGCAAGGAGGGCTTCACCCTCAACAACGATGGCAAGACCTGCAGTGGTGGGTGATGGTTTCCACCAGCACTGAGCAGAGCTGGGAGCTCAGTGGGATGGGGGGATAGGACTGAGACAGAACAGCCTCTGTTCAGAGAAGGCACAAAAGGAAACCATGCACTTACATCATACTGTGAAAGGAAACCATGCACTTGTATACTTTTATAATATATAATTTTAAAATCATTTTGAAAACATTGCTGTGAACTGTTGCTGAGTTTTGATTGATTAAACCCATTTCCTTAGCCATTAAATGGCACTAAAATTAAATTTTCCTACGTAATTAATTGGGGACTTTTTTTTCTGTTTTCTTTTGCCCTCTCCCCACGTGTTTCCTCAGCTTGCAGTGGTGGGCTGGGATCTGCTCTGGATCTCGTTTTCCTCATCGATGGCTCCAAGAGTGTGAGGCCTGAGAACTTTGAGCTGGTGAAGAAGTTCATCAACCAGATCGTGGACTCTCTGGAGGTGTCAGACAAACAGGCCCAAGTGGGGCTGGTTCAGTACTCCAGCTCTGTCAGGCAGGAGTTTCCCCTGGGGCAGTTCAAGAACAAGAAGGACATCAAAGCAGCAGTGAAGAAAATGTCCTACATGGAGAAAGGGACCATGACAGGCCAGGCTCTGAAGTACCTCGTGGACAGCTCCTTTGCCAGCATCAACGGGGCCAGGCCCGGCGTGCCCAAGGTGGGCATTGTCTTCACTGATGGCAGGTCCCAGGATTACATCACAGATGCTGCCAAAAAAGCCAAAGACTCAGGTAGGCCTCCTCAATTCTTGGTGGCTTGTTTCTCCCTCAGACCAGGTACTGCCTCGTGTGTCAACCCAGGATTCTTTCCCTGGAGATGCCTCTTCCTTAGGGCACAAACAGGTTCCTGCAGGTGTGTGCAGACATTTCCTGCCTGTGCTTGGATGCTCACAGAGAACTTGGAGCCACCCTGGCTGGGCTTCAGGTGCATCTTGGTTTGCCAGTAGCAGGTTTTAGTCCTCTCTGGCTCTTTGGTTTCAGTCTGCTG